GAGAGAGAGAGAGAGAGAGAGAGAGAGAGAGAGAGAGAGAGAGAGAGAGAGAGAGAGAACGTCCATAGCGATGTTTGTTAAGCGTGACCATACTGACATTTATTATGGTGCTATGGCGTGTTTATGATGTGCAGCTGCTCACATGATTGTACAGTGAAGATCTGGTGGTATGACGAGAATGTTCCACTGACAGACAGCGAGGCAAGTGAAGAGCAGCAGGAGTATTAGAGTCAGCCAACAACTAAAGAGACAGGTTTCGTTCAAGGGCATGCAGCGCCTTGGGTGACATCAGATTTGCGACAATAAGTTTGTGGAAAGGAAAAGAAAGACAATACCATTTCAATTTGTGAAGACTTGGCCATAACCGGTGAGGAGTTGATGTGTTGCGATTCTTCTCCTCTGATGAAGTCTTCTTTATGTTCAAAGAGGACGTGGCATCGAAGGCAAGGTGCTCCTCAGCATTGTTACCGGGGGTATTTAGACTGAAAGATACCCCAAGTACAGGTCCATGAACTTGGTCCATGAACGTGAACGTGTGTTCTGGTTTTCAGATTTGGCGGAAGAAACACAATGTGGCTAGGCTACGATCTTTGCCGGAATACAACGTACGGTCGTTATGGCGGTGTTTAGACAGAAAGATACCCCAAGTACAGCTATAATGACCGTAGGCTGTATTCGGGGGAAGAAGCTAGGAATGACACAGAGCTCACAGAGAGCTTGGCAAGGTGAAGGTGAAGGTTCATGGCTCGGGCTTTTCGGGGCTTTTGTGGTCTGCTGCTTTTTCCGTCGCTTTGTTGATTTTTTTTCTAGCCCACCTGTTTATGAAGTGACCGAGCTGAATAGTTGGTTGGTTGATTGATTGGAACATGACAGATGAGTGAGGCAAGAAGAGACCACAGGGAATCTGCAACACGAGGTAGGGTCTTCTTTGTCGACAGGGAAACTACAGAACTCGTTGTAAAGTGAAAAGGCTTGAGCATTCCAAATTTAAATTAAAAACAGTCAAATACAATTTGGCGCCGAGCGGTGAGGGAAGAAAGGGGGGGAGTTTTGGTGCATTAAGCGATGCGAGGATATAAGCTCGACTCAATTAAAACAATAGGGCACTGAGTGGTGCAATGGGATAGCATGTATGGCAGCTATGCCGGGTGTCTGGTTCGGTGAAGACAGCCACACATGCGATGCCGTGCGATGGCGTTTTTGGTTTCATGTTGCAGCTTGAACCTTCAGGTAGGAGTGGGGCTCTGCATAAGAGGGAGGAAAAGTTTGGGTGCAAAAAGTGATGTGAGGGTGTAAGCTCGAATGAGTCGAACCAATCAATGAAATATGGCATTGGGTTGTTGAATGAGATAGCGTGTATAATGGCTATGCTGGGTCTTTGGATAAATGATGAGAATCACGTTGGGGGGTGGGGGTGGGGGTGGGGTGGGGGGTGGAAAGGGGGGGTGCATGCACTCCTTCGATTTTTTTAATATTTTTTGGTTGATTGTGTGTGACGTGGCTGTTCTTTGTCAATGGCATGTGCGGGCAGGCAGACACTTCTTTTCTCGTGAGGTGCATGTTTTTTTCTGTTTTTTTTTTTGGCCCCAAAAAAAGATGTCGCTGTGAGGCGTGCACTGTTTTTGGTTTTTGGCCAATGGCACATGAAAAAGTCCAGCACATGGCCCACGTGCGGGTGAACACTGTTTTGCATTTTTAGTGGTGTAAAAAGAGTCGCGCGTTGCACACTCCTTTGTTTTATAGCAATTAGCATTTGACAAGTTTGGTGTGGTGCACGACATGCAAAGAAGAGTTGCGCTTTTATTAGCAGTATCGCATTCTGTCGTATGGCATTTGCGGCCAAGCTGTCAGCGCTGCACGGCATCCAGAAAGAGTCGTTTCTCTTCATGTGAGACACACACGCACACCCACACACACGATGGCTTGTGATGATTTGTGAAGGGAATGAAAGAAAGAATCTGAGGTCTTTTAAAACAACACACACCAACCTTGCAATTTTGTCTATCTATATGGATGGTTTGTTATGATTGTGGGGGAAATGAGAGAGAGAATTTGGGGTACTTCAACAACACACACACACACACACACACACACACACACACACACACACACACACACACACACACACACATGCACACACACGCGCACACACACACACACACACACACACACACACACACAAACATGCACACGGCATAGTATCTGCTCTGAACAGTATGAAGGGATGGTCACTGTCAGTCTATGCTGCGAAAACTGTGACCCTTTGTCTGGTACTCATCCCTCCCGCCCCTAATTACTTGCCCAGTATGCCGTCATGGCCTTGGCATGCCATACCTAAATAGTCGTGAACGTCAGCCTGCTATCCTGCTGACATGTCAGCAACATGCCATGTGTCGTCAATGTTTTCCAGGATGCTTTCATAGAAAGTATGTGTCTCTACTGCATGGACTGTCCCTGATGCCATCATCCGCCACATCCTCTCCTTTTTTTTTTTTTAGGAGGGGGGGGGGGGGGGGGGGGGGGGGGGGGGGGGGGGGGGGGGGGGTAGGTCGATGAGGGTTGAAGGGCTGTGTGTTTTCTTCAGCGTGTTGCCATTTGCTGCCGGTTACTTGAGCTCTTGTGGCAAGAAAGCTGTGCTCTCACCGTTTTACAATTTCTCCTTTGATCTCCTCGTTTGTCGTTTGTTGTTGATACAGAGGTCACATCTGTGGAGATGAATCGGAGTGGGAGTCTGCTACTGAGCGGTTCCAAGGATAACTCTAACAGACTGTGGGACGTGCGACTGGTAGGCTGACCTTCTTGCCTTTTTTTTTCCAAAGCAATACTCTTTGGTTGCACAGTATTTTGCACTCTGCTGCCCAAATGTTTAAGGATGGTTTCCGATTCCTGCTCCTGTCAAGCATCTTGCGATCTGCACAAACAACCTTGTACTCAACGAAGTGCATTTTGCCAAGTTCCTGTGTGTAATTCAAAAAAAGCACATGTGGGTTGTTTCATATGCATTCTGAATTTGCACTTCTCATCATCAGTGTGCAAGGGGGCCATTGTAACGTTCTTTCAGCGTATCTCTTTTTCATTCTCGGCAGATGTCTAAAAAAAAGGACCATTTCTCAAGCCTTGACATTCATTTCAAACATTGTGACCTTTTCAAAAATATTGTAAACTTGATGATGCTTGCCCTTTTTTTTTTTTTCCCAACCTTGATGTAGCAGTGGTTAGGATTCGCGGGGGGAAAAAAAAGGATTCGCGCCGAATTTCGCAGACGTCTGCCGCAGGTGAAACGTCTTGAATAAAGGGAGCGCCAGGGACAACTGGCAAAAAAGGGGGATGGGTGAGGGGGGGGGGGCTCGTGAGGGGGAGAGATTGGAAGACGCAGTGGAAAAGGAAAAAAAAAAAGGGACGGAGTGGAGGCACAAGATTTCAGATTCTTCAGAGTTGAGGATGATCTCAAGTTCACGAGGACATCAAGAACAGAACAGGTGTGGACTCTGTGGAGTTTAGTTATATATGGAAAGTTAGAAAAGTAATGGAAAACATCACTAAAAAGAAAAAAGAGAGAAAAAAAAGAAAAAAAGAAGGAAGTAGTAGAAACTGTGAGGATTGAGCCCTCAAGTAGGGGCCTTGCCATGATGTACATGTTCTGGGCTAAGGCCTAGTGCCCGCCCTAAGTGAAGGCGGGCCAGCAAATCAACAAGAGCCCTCTCGGCCAACATTTCACGAAGTGGGGTCTATACAGTTGCAGCACGCCAGTTGGTTGGAGTGCACCGAGTCTCGGATTTCAGCAAATGCTGAAATGCCCAGGGCCTCTGAGTTAGTTAGGCCCTGGGCACTCGAACGTGAGGCTGACAATGCATGCTGGGTAGAGAGGCCGAAATGCCAAAGGGAAAATCGGCCCACTATCTGAATCTGGCCGCAGGCCTTGAGAAGAGAGGCGCAACTGCATTGCTCCGGGGCCCAACNTTAAAAGTGGTCCATCTATTGGTGGGAAGCATCACCTGCTGGAAACCGGGTCCAGCGTCCCTTGAATACATCTTTTTTCAGAGAGAGGAACTGAGAAAAGGCCTGTCAGCATTGATTGCTCTGGTGTCCAGAGGATTAACTGTGCAGGATGTTGAGCAATAGCCACTGATGTTAAGAGGTAATTCCTCCTTCCCTCTTCTGCCCCCACACACACCATCCCTTTCCTCCCTCTCTCCTCTGCCTCCACATACCTTAACTGTGCTGGATATTGGGCCATAGGGGAAACGAATATTCCTCCCTCCCTCCTCTGCCCACACACACCCCACCTTTCCTCCCTCTCTCCTCTGCCCCTTCCCATTTGTTGCTGCTTGAGTGTACCTCCAATAGCCTGCCATCCTTAATTGCTCTGTTACCTGGGGGCCATTAACCGAACAGGGTTATTGATGCGAGTACTGAAATGTATGCTGGATAGCAGAGCCGCCTCTTCAGTCTGCCTCTGACCGCCAGATCGCACCTGTTCCTGTAGCGGCTAGCTCCTACGACTTTTGGATGCCCGCCGATGCCCATCAACCTGTGGTCCTGCCCGTGGGCTTGCTCGCTCCGCTCACTCTGCTCCATACCATTGCATATCAACCATTGCCAGTCGGTGGGGTGGGAAGGGGTCCGGAAATTCTGTGGGTGGTTGCAACGGGACATCCTGGCCCACCTTAGTCCAATCTTTGAAACAAATACAATAGTCTCGCTTGAATCCACCTGATTGTCCTTCTGGCCAAGCCTACCCTCCCATCGGACCGATGCAATCCAGCCCCCGTTCACACTGTCCAACCATTCCCCCGAGAATTGATGGATTGCTTGTGTTATGTCTTTTACCAGCACCACTAACACCGGTGGGGGAGTTTTTCAAAAAAAAAAAAAAAAAAAAAAGTCTTTTACTGAATGGAACAACATCCTCTCCTAGCATGTCCCACATGCCATGTTGGGCACACACCTGCAGCAGTCGCAGTAGGATCTCCCTCATCCTTGCCAGACGAACGACAGATGCAGCAGCCTGAGGAGGAAAATAGACTATCATATGAACCAACTACAGAGTGTTGTTCTGCTGCAGAGTGTTATCACCACCAGGGCGAGCTGTTGCAGACCAAATCCCGCAGCAGCTAAACACCCTGGCTTTGGATCAATCCCCGTTGCCGTCCTGCCCACAGAGAAGGAATAAATACTGGGGAAACCTCAATGCCGCTCTGTGATGACCCACCTGAGACTCGGCTAGCATGTGGTTCGCATGCCTTGTGCTGTGAGGATCATGAAGGGATAGGCCATGCAAGTTTCTGTTTCCGTGCGTCTGATGACAGTGTCGTGTCCAATTTGTAGACGGGGGCTGAAACAGCAATGCCTCTACAATTTCGGTTGGTGTGCCTCTGTGTTCCTAGCATGTAGGACCCACGTGGCCTTTGACATCTTTCTACATCGTGCCATTCGATCCAGCAACTGCAACCGCGAGAATTCGATGCGGTGCTTCCACAGTCCACCCCCAAACCGGTCCTGTCCAGTCTGTAGGGATCGCCACTTACCGTAGGCAACGGCTGCTGCTCAACTCAAAATCGTCTGCAACCCAAACACTGACTGACCTCGTGCGCCATTCTGGAGTAGTTTGCTCCAGTGGCGAGTATTTAGAACCCTGTGAGAACTCCACCTCCTATTTCCTTCCTCCCTCCTCTTTGCAATCAGACTTGTTTACTTCTTACTTCGCATGCATGCAAACGGATGGTGAAACACACTGGTGCCAGGCGCCAACACAAAGCTCAGAGAGACAATATGGCCGAGAACACAGTTCAGATACAAACTCACTTCCAACTGGCTATGGCGACCGAGCGCCCACACATCAACTGTCCAACACTGTACTCACGGCGACTGTTCACACGCACTTCACTCTGGGTCTCCCTGGATATCCCGCGCACACAACTCTGTACCATACACACGCATGGAAACCTATCTCTAGCTACAGCGGTTATGGCCGCCTAACCTCTACTGGCTATGGACACTCTTATCTCCCTTCAGCCCACTTCAACCCTGGGCTTCTGCAGACCGCCTCGCACAAGACGCCTGGGCAGCGCTTCGGCATGGCTCAGGCAGGAATGAATGAATGGCTGGACGCTGCCTCTTGATTTGTACTTATGTAAGTCGCCGGGCTTGCCCTTTTCCACCGGGCCCATGGTGCACACAGTCCCTCATGGTACTTGCTGACTGTACAAAGTGAGACTGGGACTGGGTACTGCTGACTACGCGAAGTTGGACTCACCACTTGCCCACTTGCCTCTGGTCTGCTGTGGGTAACGTGAGAAAAACTTGAAAGGCCACTTCCGGACCTTCCAGAAGTCTGTGGACTTGGCCTTTCGGGACTGTAGCAGCTACGACCTTGACCTTTCAGGACTGTAGCAGCTACACGACCTTCACCTTTCAGAATTGCTACAGCTACGGCCTCTACGCAACTATGACCCCTACTCGACAGACCTACAGATCGAACCCCCACATGTACCAAATTGGCTAATACTAGAAGGTTGATGCAAAGTGTTCCACCAATTTACAGAGAATTTCATTATTGGTCAGCTACACAGACCTACGACGGGCAACAGTCAACCACCAAAACACAGGTCACGGGTTCAATCTTCAAACAGACCTACAGACCTACAGATCGAACCGCTACAGCTACAGATCGACCTATGACAGCTGTAACCCCTACTCGACAGACCTACAGATCGAACCCCTACAGCTACACAGACCTACGACAGGCAACAAACAGTCAACTACCAAAACAGAGGTCACGGGTTCGAACTTCAAACACACAGGGGTCGACACGATACTGTACACGGGTGTGGTAAGGTCTAGGGATTGAGGCCTGGGGTCTGCATCTGCTACTGCTAAGGTGAAAACCGTAACCGTTTCATCTTCTGTACGACTACCGTCTTCACCCGAATATAACGCCCGGCAATTATCGCCGTATCTGGGCTGGAAGTTGTGCCAAATACAGCTGTAATGACCGGGCATTCTATTCGGGTGAAGACGGTAGTAACTGCATGCGGATGAGCATCATTAAGAGAGAAGACAAAATATAAGCTGAAGAACTGAGGAAAATAATGAACAGGAATTTACTTCCGCCTTTGCTCTGCCTCCTTTCATAATGTGCGACTGGACCGCTGTGGCACACGGGGATGTTGGCCAGCTTGCGCTCAACCGCAATCAACGTGGTGAGCCTTGTACATGAGAGGCACAGTAAAAGGGGAGTTGGAAGGTCAAATGAAATGTGTAACCAAAAGGGCCAAAGTGAACACAGTTAAGAACGGGATTTAAATCTTGAACGCTTCTTTTTTTCTCCCTGTTGCTTGCTATGACTGCAACCGTTTCATTGCGCACTGGTTCGTCTCATCTCGTCCGGGCACCCAATTTCTGCCCGGGTACACGCCCGTGTGCCCGGCCGGGCATGACCCCCGGGCAGGGTTCCAGGCAGCCCCAGCGCCAAAAAACAAAAAGAAAAAAAATTCCGGAAAAAAAAATATGTTGTGTAGGATTGAAATGCAAACCACTTTTGGCTGAGGGTCACATTATAATTCCTCACAGAATCGGAGATAAAAAAGAAAATAACAGAATCACACAAAGGCACCCCCCTTTAGACCCCTTTATCCCCTTTAAAACCAATTTATACCCCCCTCCCTCCCCCTTGACAGCCAACTCGCAGAAAACGAAATGGGCCTGGATTTGGAGTCCTCTGGGAGAGCGCAGAAAACAAAAAAAAAAAAAANTTTTTTTTTTTTTTTTTGCACGCCCGGGTACCCCGGGCGTCATGCCTGGGTGCCCGGCCGGGCGTGAGAATCTTCCTAGTTTTCTTTTTTTTCCT